CTTCAGCTTCATGACTTGTACCATTGTTGTTATTTGTAGTAGGAATTGAAGATCCAGCTAGAACCAAAGCATTGAACTCTCTACTCATGGTTGTAAAGTTCTCACTTGGAGCTCCTCCTTCTGAGGACAAAGATGATGATCTGTGGCTACTTGTTTCCCAAGTTTCCCTTCTATGACCACGATTAATATTCGTCGATGGTGGTGGCCTTGTTGGTGTTAGAGCATGGATGTCTCTAATATGATCGTCTCGATGATTTCGATCTTGATTTTGATCATCATATTGATCGTCGTGATCAGTTTCTATGTTATTATTGTTGTTGGTGGTGTTATTGTTGCTCGTGTTTGCTATGACTAGAGCTCTTTGGTCATTCAACATGTCAAGATTCTTGTTAATTTCTTGTAGGATCAAGAATAAGAAGAAGATGATGGTGGAGGAGGAGGAAGGACAAAAGGAGAATAGAAGGGTGAAAAAGAAATAAAGAGCAACATAATCTTGAATTTTTTTGGGGCTAAAATTAATTAAAGAATGGTCAAAAGTGATATGATCCACACATGCATGTTGGAGTATGAGGAATGAGAAATTTGTACTATGGTTTGAAGTGAGTAGTGATTGAGGAATGAGAAATTTGTACTATGGATTGAAGTGATGGTTCCATAATTTACATATACATCTAAATAAAGTAAAGTAAGAAATATACAGCTAGAGATAGAAAAAAGTGGTGTTAGGCTAATTATGATGAATTTTTTGGATCTTTCTTTGGCTTGAAATTTCTAGTTGACTCCCTCATTTCATGGTAATTGAAGTTTTTTCCTCGGATTATATGCAAATATCTTAATTTTCCCCTGCCTCCATTCTTGGGGTGTGACAATAGCATGATCTTAGGTTTATTCTTATTAGTTTAAGTTCTAGGTAGACACTAGCAGGGGCAGATCCACAGTATTGCGTACTGGTCCACGTGAACCCAATAACTTTTGTTCACACCTTGAATATATATTAAGAAATCTGCTTATGGACCCAAAATATTATTGTAGTATGAACTTCAGGTCGTTGTAGGAACTCACAAAATTCAAATCATAGATCAGCCTCTAGACACTATAGGCAATGCCTGAATGTACTTATCACATGAAACAACTCACAATACAGATCTAGCTTATTGATATGTTCAAGAAAATTTTACTTAAATCCACTTAACTTTTTTTAAATAAAAAAACCTGTGCTCGGAAATTTAAGTACCTTTAGCATGGGATTTTACGTATTTAAGATTTTAAATTTATGCTTTCGTATTTGAAATTCTACCATGATTCATCTGATTTATAAGGTTCAAACGTTAATTATTCGTACTTATTTAGCAAACTTCTTAGCATATATATATATATATATATATATATATATATATATATAGTCTTGGCCGAAGTCACACGGTTTGGATGCACTCATAACTTATCCTCTACATCCACCCTAAGTAATTTTTAGAACATTATATTAAAATAGTCTACAATAGCGGGTAACTTCTAAAATAAATCCTTATATAATAACTTTAAAAATAAAGTGATATTGGACCGATAGTACAAAAAATTTATTTTGTCAATCTCATGTAACTTAAATCTTGACAAGAAGGACCAATTCCATAGATACTCTAAACCATAGGCACTTAATTGCAAATAAAAAAATATCACTTTCGACTTTTGTCTCAATGTAGTGTCGGCCAAAGAAGATTCTACATGTGCCGGACCCACCAACATTTGGTAAATAGTGGTGGACCATACACAATCTACACACGCGTCGCAGGCTAATAGTATTACCCCAAATTAAAAATAGCCACGTCGGCACATATTATTGGTTAAAAGGTACTCAATCCCTTATGTCATTTTCGCTCATGCATTGATGACCTGGCAATCGACAGATCATTGACACGTGTACGGAAGAATAACGAATAAAATATTGTGGATTTCAAGATGCCCACGTCTCACGTGATATTTAATCAACATTATGAAGCTCTAAATTAAAGTAGTAAACTATTGATTAATGATTAAGACATTCATTAAGATCATCAACAATTTTTGAATCTTTTCAACTCTCTGTTTTAAAAGGCAGAATTAGGACTCGTTCTGGGGTGGAACACTGGTAAAACGCGCTGGCTTAAGTGTGGGCTTAGTTCCGTGAGACTTACGCCTCGGCCGTTAAGGCTTACGCCCCGGACACGCCCAATGCCCAGCGTACTGGGCTCGCCTTATAGAACTTTATATAATTGTGTGTAACTAACCTTGTAAATCCTCAAATTTTCTTAATAAATCGTTGACTATTCAAAATTATTTTTCTCTTAATCATAAATCATTAAGTTGAGAGTATTTTATGTCATAATTAAAATAAAAATTATTGCATGTTATCCACTAAGACTCCTACGATAGTAGATTTTAAATATATCTTTCATTTAAAAGTATTTATTTATTAACTTTTGTTATGTCTTTATTATATTAGTCCATAATTTTTTTTATAATTATTTTCCTAAATAATTTTTTTCACGTTTACGAGATACAATACTTATTAACTTAATAGCCCAATGTTAGCTAGTAACTATTTACAAATAATTAGTTATCATGATATAGTATGGTGAATTATGTGTCACTTTATTAACTTGTTGAAACTTAAAAATAAATGATGCTAGAAAATCATATTTAAATTGTGAATTAAATTTTATATAAATTCTCTTCGAAATAGAAAACATATTAAATAAAAGGATTATTTTTAAAAAAAAATCAAATTATAATATCGAAATTCTTTCCAGATTCATTACTCCTTAAGAGATACATATAAGATTTCGCATCGAATACATTACTTTTGATGTTTGAGTTGTAACGACGTTGCAGCTAATTTGCATATTATGATATAATGCATACTTTTTGTATTATTCATAGTTGAATTATGATTTATAAATATTTTAAATAGATTATTTGGTATAATTTTGTGATTTTAATGTAATTTTTATAATTATTTTTCATCTTAAAATTCTTGAAATTAGTAATATTTAAAGATCCATGGGACTTACGCCCCATGTCTCAGGGCTTACGCCTCGCCTCATCAGAGGTAAAACGTCTCGCCTCACGCCCCCGCCTTTTAAAACATTGTTTCAACCTTAGTCAAAGATCTCGGGTTCGAGCAATGAAAATACAAAACTCGTGATAGAGAGCACTTTCCAACTAATGAACCGCAGAGGCATGAATTTGAAGTAGTCAGACCGAGTGATGGAGGAAAGATTTTCACGAACGGGATTCAAAAAAGAATAAGTGAACAAGCGAAAAAGCCAAGAGAATTCAACATTTATTATTCTAAACTTTTTTTTTTTTTTGTTTCTTTTCCAATTAAAATTAGTGATGTAAATGTGAGTGGGGAACGAGCGAGGGGGTGGAATATGACATGTTTCCATTGTTCTGTTTTTCTTTTTCTTTTTTTAAATTGAAAATTAAATACAGGTGTTTGCAGTAGTATTGGACCAAAGAGGGCTTGAAAAGGATGTGTAGGGATTAGTTATTTTTTGTCATTTTATTTATTAAAATCTAGTTTTTGATTTCCATCAACGACTAAGTTTGTATGAAGTTTGACTTTTGAAGTTGATGTTTTTGTCATTTCATAATAAATCAGATTTTAAGTGTTTGCTTTATACATTGTATTATACTCCTATCTCACTAGGAACAGTTCGATAATTAAAAATTTTGAAATGGAACTGCAGTACTAAAAGTATAAATTATATTACCTACTGTTCATATATCTGATCTTTTAAAAAAAAATGCACACTTAGTAAAGATATTTAATAACTTTGATTTCAAGAGTGTTTGTCTAAATTACCATTTATCTATTTCTTAAATGTTCACTTAATCACACACAACTAACTGGAGCAATAATGGTGTAAATGAGAAAATGTAACAAATGCTGATATTTTTCTAAACAACAAATATGTTTTTGAATAAATTTATGTTGCCCACGACTAATATGATTGAAAGAATTAACAAGTCACTCCCAAATAACTCAATGTAAAAGAACATGGAACTCTAGTAAGCACCATAAAGATACCTATACAACTTTCTTGGCAAAAAAACATAACGTATCTCTATTAAAACAAGAGTTTAAGTTTCACGCACTAACGATATAAAAAGTTCTACACAATCAAAATACTTACAAGATAATCGCAAGCAAATCTCTATGATGAGTATTACTAATTAGTAGTCGGGTAAAAGTAGTAACTGACCTAATATATTAAACTTCACCGATAACGTAAATAATGTTTTCACAAAAAACATATAAAGTATCTCTAAAAATATAAGGGGTCGTTTGGTTGGAATATGATTTATACCGATATAAGTTATGCCGATATAAGTTATATTTGGATAAGTTATGCTGGGATTAGTTATGCTGGGATTGTTGTTTATTCATTGTTCGGTATGTTGTATTAAGAATGACAATTGCATAATTTCTAAGAAGAAGGTATAAGTTATACCGGTGCTAATTATCCCACCTTCTATAAGGTATAAGTTATCCCGGTGTTAAAATTAACACCGGGATAACTTATACCTGGTTTGCTAACCAAACAGAGTATTAAGGTGGTATTAAATTTTTATACCACCCTTATACCTTCTTATACCTCATACCAAACGACCCCTAAGAGTTTAAGTTTCACGTACTAACATGATATAAAAGTTTTGCACATTGAAATACTTATATAAGATAAATGCAAGCAAATTTCTATGATAAGCATTACTAATTAGTAGTCCGATTAAAAGTGGCAACTAACCTGCTATCATAGATTAAACTTCACCGATAACATAAATGATGTTTTCAGTACTAGTGTATATAGTTAAATCCTAAAGGGCATCCCGGTACACTAAGCTCCCGCTATGCGCGGGGTCCGAGGAAGGGCCGGACCACAAGGGTCTATTGTACGCAGCCTTACCCTGCATTTCTACAAGAGCCTGTTTCCACGGCTTGAACACGTGACCTCCTGGCCGCATGGCAGCAACTTTACCGGTTACGCCAAGGCTCCCCTTCGTATAACTTAAATCCTTGAAAAAAAAAAAAGTAAGAGGAAAACTGGCCTTCAAGATATCTATACATTTGGCCTTGATGGCTGGGATATCATCAGTAACGTCTCCGCACAACTATTTTCTTGACATGTTAAGGGGTTTTCCTCTGGCTCAGCCACAACACACAAATTCTCTGGTGTCAAATCTTCATTTAGGCCAGGAGAAATCTCCTCTTCATTTGGGCCAGGAGGATAATCAATCTCGGAAGCACTTAAATCAAATATAAAGACAGAGAAACGAGAATTTCCAGTATATCGGAAGAGTAAAAAGTAACCACAACCAATTGAATAGTACTCCTTGAATTTGTTCCAACCCTCCTTTAACCATGCCATGCCACTACAGTTATGCAATTTTACTTTCCATATTGCACCATTTGGGACCTCAAGCGACACAACATCTCGCAGATTGTCCCCATACTCCATCATAAATTCATCAGGGATGTGCTGTAGAATACGAAAATTCGGAAAGAGATGAACAAAACATAAGAGAAGAACAGTAGAAAACAAATGCAAGGAAAAGGTAACCTTCAGACCAAGAAGTTGGTGTAAGCTAGCTGAAATTAGCAATATCCAAACTCCTATAATTAGTTTGAACAAACATTTGAGTTTCCTCAGCGAATAACTATTTGCAGCAGTGCTGCATCGCCCATTGTTGATTCAACTTCAATGAGTTCTATATGCATTATGCATGAGAATATAAATTTGTTTTAACAATTACGCATGAGAATAAAACTATTTAGATTTACGTCTTCTCTTTTTTCCTTTTTTTAAAACTTTCCTTATGGAAAAAATTATTGGTCAATCAGACCTGATCAAACATGAAAGCCGAAGCTCATTTTGGCCAACGAAAAGAGATAAAAAATGAAAGCCAAAAAGGCGTCCGTTGTCAATAAACCTCTTTTTTTGGATACCCCCTAATGCTAACAAGAGCATAAAGCCAGAAACCTTCTTAATTCCTAATTTCTTCAGTTCAAAGTATTCAAGTTATTCATTCTAGTTACTGCTCAAAAACAGGGAACTTGGTTGAGACTGGTTTATATTTAAATTGAGGTTTGCCAAATATCTTCCGATCCTCAAGCTTTCCACACCTCAATAATCCTCCTGTAATTAACCCATTTAATCTGACACATTAAAGTACATAAATCTTACGAAGATAATGTCATTATGCAAAAATGCTCATGTCGAGAATCCACTCGCGCACATTTTGAAGACCTACTTGAAAGGCATGGCAATCATAGATACATTACATGACTTGCTTTTAAATATTGCTTCATGGATGATTCAAAAAGTCTTCAAAGCCAAGAAGTATCTGGATGAAGCAAGGTATGATGCACTTCAGGGCGTATTTGAGAAGGCACCTTGGAGAAGAGTCATTTGTAACAATTTTGGTGTACCTAAATGGATTTTTGTATTGAGATTAGCAGCTTGGGAGAGGCTATACACTAAGGATAGATTGACAGCATGGGGAATACGCATCAACCAAGACTATTCCTTGTGTTCATCAAAGATTGGGATCACCTCTCATTTATTTTTTAAGTGCCCCTACTCTGCAACTATATGGGAGAATACTCTTATATGGCAAGGCATAAGAAGGTTTGCTCTAAGTTGGCAAGACGAGTTGAAATGGATGGCATCCAATTGTAAAGGTAAAACTACCAGTGCACATGTGTTCAGAATGACAGTGGCTGGGAGTGTATATCAAATTTGGAAAGAGAGAAATCAGAGGATCTTTCAAGGCAAATGCGGAAGTACTGAAGCTATTGTTTGAATCATCATCCAGGAGATATTCTGTAGAGGAAATTCGCAACCTAAGATCATGACACAATTGCAATCCCTAAATTTCTATCCTGTTTAGAGTTTTAGCTAGGGAGAAAAGTTATAGGAGATAGAGAGTTCTAATCTGCTAAAACTGTGTTTACAGTACGCAGATTTTTTTTTGATGTAATACTTCCAGTTGGTTAATAAAAATATTTATTTACCAAAAAAGATATTGCAGCATCAGCCATGAGTTTGGAGTTCTGGAAGTTTGATATCATTCCTTTTGCAACATCTCCAACTACAGACCCTGGTCTCCTCCGACAACTATGGAGACCACCCATATATTATCAGTTTCTGCACGAGACCTTGCATGAAGAGGAACTTCTGAAATCAGCTAAATTTCAAAACTATAGCAGTTAGAGAGGAGCTGTTCTAATATCAAAAGTTGGCTAATTATTTAGCTTTTAGCAATATCATTCGAACAAGACATGGGCTTGGCCTACCTCCC